TTAGGTTACTGCTAAGAGGCCACGCAGTGTATCACTTCGCTCGAGCAGCTGCCAACAACTATCCCCCAGCTCCCGACACCGCTGTGGTGCTTCCACGCTCTCGCACACCACGCTTGTCATTCATTTAACTTCGATTTAAATGCTTGATTCTGAATTTCCTCTTCGAGTCTACTTATTAAATTGCCCTAACGTGCGTCGAGATGAGTGATTGATGGCCGACGCCCGGCGCTGTGCGGCTTAGCAGCGTCCCACACCGCGAGGCAGACTACTACAGCCGGTGTCTGCGTGGATGAGCGGTGGGTGTAATTTTGGCCGACGGGGAAAAAAAATCACCGTGAGATTGCCGTCACTTTTATCCTTCATGGGATCTGCGCTCTATATTGCTTGTTAACAACGAAGGCTGCATTTTGCCCATGTAATGTTCTGCCGAAAATAATGTGGGTTTGTGTTTTGCTGTTTGAAAGCATCTAAGTGCTTGCTTTTAAAAGCCAAGAATGCGTGCTCTATTCTAATGTCATTAAAAAGCCAACCCTTTCACAACCAAGAAAGCCATCCGTAAAAGCGATGCTGAATGTTTTTGTTGATGTTATTATTATAATCATTATTTTACAAGGGTTTTGCTAATATTGTTGTCATGTGTACTCATTACGGAGCCACAAGCAGGAGAGGTGAGATACTCCCCTTTGTCGACACTAATGCAACTGCAGTCAGCGCTAATTAAAATGAAAAGGACTCTGTTTGGTATGTATCTATGATTAGTATTGCGCTCGTACTGCTGCAAAAAAGGTGTCAAATTAAATGAGCGTGGATCTTCACAAAAATACATAAACAAAACCACGAATGCGAATGATGAAGTCGTGATAATTACATCAAAACAACAACAAAGTGCAAGTTGAAAATGACTTTGCAAACGGGAGGAAGAAATATCCGCCCGCCTACTTGACAACTCACGTAGGAAAACATGGGACGGTGGTGACAGAGAGGACATGAGGAACAACGATGACTGACGAACCCCAACACTGACATTCAACATCGTAACGCGCTCATATTTCCTCCCTGCCCAATTAGCCAAGGACTGTCGTGAAAGCATCATAACTCAACGGCTCACGACTCAGACAACGATTCAATGGAAGATCCTTTTTTTGTACTTCACGCCGTTCTTTGATCCTGTATTATTAACGTGTTTTTCCTCCACGTTTTTCATAATTTGCAAGATACTTGACAGCTCCGGCGGGGGAATGGGAGCGGTAGCGTAGTGATTAACGCACTATTCTTAGGTTTTTTTCGGTAAAGTCACGTAGGTAAAACATTAAAATTAATAAAAGTAAAATAAAATAAAAATCACGACGTTTCGGAGGCAACACAAGCTTCCGTCTTCAGGTGGAACCGTCACAGCCACGACAGCTGTATCAAGTAAATGAGAGATTGCAGGAGCTACCACTCCGTATATATAATGGCTGTGACGGTTCCACCTGAAGACAGAAGCTTGTGTTGCCTCCGAAACGTCGTGATTTTTATTTTATTTTACTTTTATTCATTGTAATGTTTTACCTACGTGACTTTACCGAAAAAATATAAATCATTGCAGTCACGAAAGCTTCAAATCTAGAATTAACGCACTACATTGAGTGATATCCTACCAGGCCGCACCGACCGGCATCACGAGGTCTAACCAAACTTTCCCCCATAACCGACACGGTGTCCAGAGGCCTTCGCTAAGCAACTTCTTGAGAAAGAGCTGTACATTGTTATTTGAAAAAACAAAATTAAACATTATTTATTGAATTGATTGCTGTCCATGCAACGCGTGTGCCCATCCATATGTAATATTAACACAACATCACCATCATCACGCACTAACCAGCGTGGTCAAGTATGGTCATTACAATTCCATGACGTAGCTTTTGGACACCTCGGCGGGCAATGGGATTATGAAGTTCAACACGGAGGCGATCGCGACCAATTTCATCCATAACATGCTTCTTGGGGTTAGATCGCGTAAATATTCATCAACTCCCCCCCCCCCCCTTCGCACGTGACGTCATCACATCTACGCCTCTATCTAAGGAACGATACAGGAGGATTCCTCCACAAATCTGGCTGTCGCCTGATGAAGCTGGTTGTAATTACTGGCGAAACATCGTACCCAGATTGTAAATGTTGTGGATTTGCTCTCCAACACACCGGTGTGCTGTACTAGTAACGAATTGGCCACGTTCTGCTTACGTGACAACCCTTACGAATTGGCTGTGTTGGGTGGTGGCAGTTTTAACATTTATATTCATGCGATTTACCCCAAAAAACCAGTTATGGATGAAATTATAAAACCTATGCTAGCAATCGAACATTTCTACTCAAGGCAAATCTACTGCAGAGCTTAAACTCAAGATCTCCCTTTGAATAATATAACTACATATTCTTGTTCTCTCGGTGCTCGCATAGAGTCATAAACGTCCACTGCTGCTTATTTCATAATGCAAAATGTGCAAAAATATCTACAAAACGGTATAAAATGAAAACATCAAAGCACCACGTAATCACCAGACTTGTCATGAGCGCAAATTTCACGTTGGCTATTGGCGAGGAACAACCCAGGTGACAGCCACATTGGGAAGTTTCATTTTTCCCAAGTACACTTCAGTGCAGTGTAACAGCAGCCGCCGCGTCGTGTTTTACGCGTGCACGTCTCTCTCGCTCTCTCGTTCTCTCTCAGCGCCTCGGGAAAGCCAATCTCGCAAACAAAGCGGGCCGTCGCAGGCAGCCGGACGGGCGACCCTGCGCCAAGAAAACGTCGCGAGTCACGGCACGCTTAGCGAGGAGAGGTTGTGAGCACGTGCTTACGGCGTCACAGTGGCTAGGAGATATAGCCGTAGTCTCAAGCCGCACCTCACCATAATGAAGGCTCAGTCATTTGTTATGTAGTCTAGCCGTAGTCTCAAGCCGCACCTTACCATAATAATAAAAAGTGGGCCGTTCCTGGCAATTCCCCGCTCCCCCCTCAAACATTATATATACGGAGTGGTATCTCTTGTAATCTCTCATTTATTTGATACAGCTGTCGTGCTGTGACGGTTCCACCTGAAGACGGAAGCTTGTGTTGCCTCCGAAACGTCGTGATTTTTATTTTATTTTTATTTTACTTTTATACATTTTTATTTTTATTTTTTTACCTACGTGACTTTACCGAAAAAACATAAGAATATGGCTAGGAGATGTTAACTACCTCGTCCTGGTATGTAGGAGGTCGAGGGTTCGATCCCGACCCCTAACGCCTGCTGCATAATTTTTTTTAGTTTGCGGTGTCTCTCTCTCCCCGTGGTCACGTGGATTTTTCTCCGGATCCTCCGGGTTTTCCCTCCACGTTTAGAAACATGCGTTGAAGAGTGTTTGGCTGCTATACATTTCCACATTCATAAGCCGCTTGGTTTAGTTATCATTTGAGGCCAGGTCGCTTTCGAAATATATATATATATAGCTCAGTGGGCCTTACTTGGTAACACAAAAAATTGTTGAATTTGGCTGGGGCGGATGCCAAGCACTCTTGATGTCGCGATCTAAATAAACACTCTCCCAATGTTGTCCGTATGCGTACGAAATCGGAAGAAAACCTAAAAGAAAACTAAAATAAAATTATATTATCGGTATCGTCTTCAGGTCGGAAGACGTAGCGAAGCTCCACAAGGCGTTTGGCATAGTTTGGCTAGCCAGCTATTATAGAGTGTGGTCGTGTCGCTACAGTTTTCTGTGGCGAGTACAATACCTTTAAAAGCAACGGCGCTACTACGCCTCTCTCTAAATACATTTGAGGTTGAACCGCTTGTGCGTTCTGAGATTCAGCAGTAAACGGGACAGACCCTGCAACTTGCAGACGCCTCGGAAAGGGTTAAGTGACGAGCAACGAAGTAATTTCCCTCCCGTCATAGCTCTTCCTAAGCTCTGATAACAACCGTGCCCCATTCAGGAAACGTATTAAACATGATTTTTTACTCCTAAACTATTTTTTTTATTTTACCGGGTAAGGCCCACTGAGCAATATAGCTCTTTTTTCAGATGCGACTTGGCTATCACAAATGATAGTGCGACGAAGTGGCTTATCGTTGGGAAATTTAAGCAGCCAAACACTCTTAAACGTATGTTGATTCTAATGTGGATGGAAAAACTGGAGGACCCGGAAAAAATCCACGCGACCACGGGGAGAGAGAACGTGCAAACTTCAAATATACAGCAGGCATCAGGGTCGGATCGAACTCACGGCCTCCTGTATACCAGGCGAGGTAGTGAACATCTCGCCACCGTGGCGCCCTATCCATTGCACCTTCAATGGTGCTGTTTTTTGCTGACCATTTGACGTTTTGGGCGTGTGCTGGGCGACTGCGTTAAAAAAGAGAAACGACTGTGACAGGATGAATGTTTGGGAGGGGGCAGGGGAATTGCACACCCTTCACGGCAACATGCAATAGCTCAGAGTGGGTTACACGTGTGACAGCTTTAGTTGGCTGGAGCAAGAACAACTCAATAGTAATCCGCGCAGCGAGACGTGATGAATATTCCACAGGTTGTCATCGTCTAGACTATGACTGAAATAAACAAAAATTCTGATCAACCTAACACTGGACACTGTCAGACAGCAGCCGCCACTGCTTCAAACTTGCCGGGACAAAATTTCGTCAGCTCAGTTTGACGCTTAACAGCGTTGGAATCGTGAGCTTTTCGGAACGACCCAATTTCACCCACATTCCTTGCAGAGAGCACTTTGTGCAGTCGCCGATGTGTTGGCACAGGTGCCGTACATCTCCCCGATGTGTTTTCCAGTTGTTTCTGACGTGTTGTTGGATGCAACACACACAACACCATGAAGAGCGGACAGGGCACAACGCCACCAAATATCTCAATTTGGCTCGAGGGCCAAGCAGGGCCAGGGGTGGGGTTCATCATTTTCGTCACGCGAGTCATCCGAGTGTGACTCGACCCGACGTGTCCACCGCGTGCGATGTCGGCAGCGCGGCTCAGGTCCTGGAGCAGAGAAACAAAGCCGGTGCCTTCTGATCGACGCCGAGGCTGGCTCCGCACAGCGCGAACGCGGCACGGCTGAAACAGCGGCAATGAAAAAATGTGGAGCCGGCTCGGCTTGACACTCGGTGTGCGACGAAGCGAGTTGAACTGGAGGCCTCCTTATTCATCCAGGTACGCGCTGAAAAAAAGGTCATCACTTTTTGGACCCATTTGGACCGATTGATGTAAATGAGTTGGAACTTTTTGGCACTCCACCCCCCTCCTCCTGTGATGGTTTCCTAGCTTGGTTGGGAAGCTGGTATCGTGGTCTGGGATGTGTAGTAGACCTAATGCACTCTCATTTATTGGTTGTGATCACTTTTTGTTGTTGTTTGTGTATTTTGCTTTGGTGCCATTTCTTAATTTGCTGGTAAATGTGTAAGGTTTCGCTTGGTAGTATGTGTTTGCATTTTCTTGGTAGTGGCTGTTAGATGGGATGTACAGAACTGTGCGATGCTATTAGCATGAATGACGCTCTATATAAAATGAACAATGAAGTGAAGTCGCTTCGGGATGATGCCGACCTCTTAGGCGGCCGATGTGCGAACACAACGGACGGGCGACGCGACGGCTCTCCCCACTGCACCGCGTCGGCTTGGAGCGAAAACGCATCGGAGAGCCGCAAGCACGACCCACGAAAAGCCGCACACGCGAGCGTGGGGGGGCGATGCAATGGAGGTGCCAGTGTCTGAATGTCAAGCAGAGATCACCGGCCCAATGCCTGACTAATGAGCAAAATATCTGTTTCCAATGATGAATAGCGATGGAGAAAAACAGGGACGTCGTTAATTTTTGATAACTATAATTAATAGGTCTGTGATAAATCCTGAATATGGGGTTAACATTATCTTTTTTTTTACCTCCCGCACAAGAATAACAAACTTCATTATCTCTTCCGTAAAAAAAAATACCGTTCGCTCATCACAAGCAAAGTGTAAATGTTAACTTTCGCAACTTCAAGTGTATGGGCTATGTGACATTACAAACAAACCGCGAGGCACAGTGCATCTGATTACACTGGTCAACAAAAAAAAAACATTTTTTCTGGCCTGGACTTTTGCAGCTGTCTTAGACTAATTTCAGGGTGCTGATTCCAAATCTGATCTCAGATTTACTATCTCATATCTCATTTTTATGCTATCGGCATACCCCATTTTCATTGATTTTACCCGAAATTAACTCTGTCACTTATGATTGCAAGTTGTTGCGAGTCAGTGACTGCTTTAGTGTTAAAATATGGTGCTGTATTTTTAGGATAGTGTTTTTATAATATAATTTTATGTAGATATTTAGATTTATTTAATATTTTTTTTCTGCAGTTTTGATTGAAAATGCTATTTTTGATATCTCAAAAACCTGAAGTGATAGACAAAAACTGATGCCAAATTTGCAATCAGCACCCCAAAATTACCTTAAAACCGTTGGAATACCTTATGCCAGAAAAGGTGTGTTGACCAGTGGTATCCACAATGTATCAGTGCTCAGTCCTGCGAGCCAAAAGGACATTTCTACTTTTTTTGGCGAAAAAAATGTATCCACAAAATCAGCCCCACCATCCCCCTCTCCCCATCGCCCCCATTCCCCCCACGTCCCCAGACAAGAGAAAAATAACCAGTGCATGCATGTTTCTGCGAAGATGTATTGCATTAAAGAAGCCACACAGAGCACAATTGATTATTGGTGTTTTCCTTCGTTTCATTAATTGCTTGATTGATTATTTAGCAACTAAATCAACCGTGTCCTTGGACAGACATTTAGAAGTGCATCACTAGGCAGTGGAGTGACTTAAGTTCGGGAAAGGTGTTGGGACTACGAAGAGAACCCCCATTAATATCACACAAAAGAAGACATCCATGCCGTGTTTCCGTATGAATTAAATCTATTTTCGCCCACACATTGTATTCACAAGCAGAGACAGAGTGGAGTTCTGCTGACATTAGCTTCTACCCGTAATACGCCAGAACAACACAATGGGTTTGTATAAAATGTGAAACTTGAATCCTTAATCTATGCAGGAAATAAAAAAAATGGCAAGACAAAATAACACTCAAACTCTGCTTAGGATTTTGTGTGCAATTACCTCCACTGCTAAACCCATTTCATCCTTCATACTCATCACACTGGAATTGGCCAAACATCCCAATGCGGGACCCTGCTCAGCAAAGGCTTTCTTAGGCAAATGGAATTTGCGATTGATGATTTCCAGTACGGAGACCCACTCGCTGTAGGATTTCACGCGGGTACCTCTTTTGTCCTACGTGCGACTGGCCGTTTGACGGATTCATACTCTTTGGTTCTTTCGGTAAAGTCACGTAGGTAAAAAATGAAATTTAAATTAATACAAATTAAAACAATAAAATCACGACGTTTCGGAGGCAACACAAGCTTCCGTCTTCAGGTGAAACTGTCACAGCAAAAAATCTGTATCAAGTGGATGTTGAGGAACCCCGTGAACGACCTCTGGTCCCGCTGATCGGGAGGCAGCACTTACCCAGCCACTCCGCCACGGAGAGCAATGTCCATTGCGTGACAGTCAATGCAATATTTTTAATTGCTGGAGCTGGAATTCGGGCAAAAAATTTAGTGAAGAACCAACTCTACATGTAATAGTTTTGTTTTTGTCCACTAGAGAAACCCGTTTTCTTGGTTCTTTCGGTAAAGTCACGTAAAAGGGAAATAATAAAATAATAAAAAATAAAACATAATAAAATAATTCTCACGACGTTTCGGCCACAACGCGAGAATTATTGTATTGTTTTATTTTTATTATTTTATTACTTCCCTTCTACGTTACTTTACCGAAAGAACCAAGAAGATGAATCCCTGCAGTCACGAAAGCTTTAAATCGAAATTTAGAGAAACCCGTTCACTCTCAGGCGGCTGCTGCCTGGTTTCAAACCCGGTACCTCAGCAGTGTCAACTCAGTGTTCTGACCAATACAAAAACTAGACACCAAACTATTTTTTTTATTTCACCAGCTAAGGCCCACTGAGCTATTTCAGAAGTGACTTGGCTGTCACAAATGATAGCCCAACGAAGTGGCTTATCGCTTGGAAATGTATAGCAGCCAAATACTCTTAAACGTATGTTGATTCTAAATGCGGAGGGGAAACTCAAAGGGCCCGGAGAAAAATCCACGCGACCACGAGAAGAGGACAACACACAAACTCCAAATATACAGGCATCAGGGTCAGGATCGAACCCATACGTTCCTGCATACCAGGCGAGGAAGTTAAAATATCGCTATCACGACCTGTGAGCCATTGGTCACCTCCTACAAGTGGGTATTAAATGCATTTGAATGCCATCATTGTGAGACCCACCACCCCTGTTGCTCTATTCAATGCCGTATTTTCATGGTATTCCTTTTTATCAGCAAACATATAACTCATACTTTACCTTCGCACACAACCATTGACAAAAAATTCGCCAATTAACTAACTTTGAAGGCAACGTAAAATAAAATAAAAATCTTTAGGCTATCTCAGCAGTCACTCAGTTCGTAAATTAACCGCGGCTCATGGACCCCTCTCTCATGAGAGAGATATTTATTACATTTATCTTTGCAGCGTTAGTATTGTCATCATTAGCATTCACTATACTACTGCGCTGGTCTTTGAGATTGTGCTGTCGATATCTCCGATGTTGTTGTTGTTGTTGGGTTGCACCGCGCGTTGTTGCGCACAATGTCCGACGTTCCTGCTGGCAACCAAATTCGGCACGATGGAAAGTAGCTCCCAGCACCGTGGGCGCGAAACGTCGGACATTGCTCCAAACCACACACGGCACAACCCAATATCACACGACCGTAATAGAGAGAGAGATAGCTAAACGGCACATCTGCGAAAACCTACCCAGCAGTCAACATTTATTCTTGCAGTGTTGTTATCGCTGCTATTACCATTCACAATGTTCGTGACGAGCTCCGCCCCCTTGACTTCACCGGCTGAATGTGCCGACTGAATCCTAAAGACTCCAAAAATCCATAGGCTACTATTAGCGGCCCAGACAGACGAATACGGAACGAGCAGGCTGCCGGATCATGTCACGTAGCTGTCTGCTTAATCCCACCGTCACTTCCAGTGATATTGCAGTCGATATGAGATGGTCTTCGCTAATTGAATTCAGTGCATTATAACAATGACAGCTACTGTTATTGTGATATTCAAACCTTCCTGCGGTTTTGACACTACCACGTGTTATTATGAAGCGTTGATCTTTTCTTCACATTCCGCTCTCGTTTCATAATGGAAGGTAATTAAGCCAATTGTCACCGCATACATTAATTATTTCGACTCGACTGGAGTTCATGGTGTATCGCAAAGTTCCGCACTATGTTGTGAATGTTGTTTTATCCAGATGAAGATACACTTTTCCCACCCCCCTGTATTTTAAAACAAAGTTGGGGATCCATCTCCTGATCCTGTCGGTGTGCGTGACCAGATGTGTCGTGTGCAGTTCCGGCCTTCATAGGTGCTCGCTAACACCACTTGCCCCAAAAGTATGTTGAAGGCTACATGGGGATCGGTGTCTTCGTACAACTTTATTGGCATGAGGCAGAGTCAACAACTTCATATCCACCACACAGCCACTTCCCATCATATGGCCATATTTCTTCGGATTATGAGATGCACTTTTTTCCCCTAGGGTCCACTCTATATCTGGCAACTTTATATTTTTCACCCCTGTTTGCGATTGCCCTGGAACAACATGAAAACATTTTCTCAAAGTGACCCGAAATATTGAACTGCATCTTACTTCTTCTTGTTTCTTTCGGTAAAGTCACGTAGAAGGGAAGTAATAAAATAATAAAAATAAAACATAATAAAACAATTCTCACGACGTTTCGGCTACAACGCAAGCAGCCGTCTTCAGGTGAAGAATGAGACACTACCAAACTAGGAGCTTATATATAAGCTGCATTGGGGGTTGAAGAGCGCCTTAACAAAAAGAATGTGCATGTGAAGAGGAATTTAGCATATTCATGGCAAATGCGTAGGCGTTGGGCGGGGGGGTGTCAAAGTCATATTATGCCCATGCATTATGCAGGATCAGCAGCAACCAAGGGGGGTGCAGGGATTAGCAGTAACAAAGGGAAGGAATGTTAATGATATGTAGCTGCAGTTACTCAACAACCACGTAGAAAACTAAAGTATAAACTACATAAAAAACTAAAGTATAAACTGCATCGCACCATCAGTATACTTACTATACTCTATAATAAGCTGAGTTACTAACAGCAAGTAATACATTACCATTCTACCTCGTAAAAATTCTATAATATGCTTCCATCTAGACCTTATTCTCTTACATCACACGAGCATATACCGTACTATATACTGCCATAGATAAACCCAACATTAAATTATATACTGTATTGCTGTAAACCAACCTATATCTTATACATTTAATATAACACTATGTATTATTCTACACACCCTAATGTGTGTCGAAATGGTTTATTACGTCCTTCCAATGATTGCTGAGCCAGAATCCATCTTCTCGGTTAAAATTGTCTCTGTGTTTGTATATGTGGATCGCCTCATGAACGAATCTCTCATGATAGCCAGATGGCTTGCAGAGAACCTCTGTCTTGGAGAAGTCAATATCATGTGAGCCCACTGAGTTGTAACAGTGATCTGCCACGGCTGAGGTGTTTGTCCTACCGTGTTTCAGGTCAGCTTTATGTTCACGGATGCGGTCCGAGACATGTCGTTTGGTTTCCCCAATGTAACTGCTACCACAGAGGCAACTTAGTTTGTAGACGCCAGGGTACTGTATGTCTGGAACCACATCTTTTACAGACGGTACCAGATCACGGATTTTATGTACTGTGTTGAATCGGACCTGGATCTTGTGTTTAATCAGGATTTTGGAGATCTTTTTTGTGACCCCAGCAATGTAGGGTAAGGTGATGGTCTTGAAAGGCTCCTCAACAGGATCTTTCTTGATGGTTGGAGTGATGGCTTTGCGGATTGTATAGTCGGAGTAACCATTTGCCTTAAGAGCTTGGCGTACGTGTTTGAGTTCACTGGAAATGTGTTCATGGTCGGAGATGCATTGGGCTCTATGATATAGAGTCTTGATGAGGGAATTCTTCTGGGATGGATGGTGGTGGGAATCCGGTTTTAGATAAGCATCCGTGTGGGTGGCTTTCCTATAGACAGAGTGGCTCATTGAACCATCAGGTCTCCTTTTGATTAGGACATCCAAAAAGGGTAGCTTGCCATCATTTTCGACTTCCATGGTGAATCTGATGGCTGGGTGTATGGAATTGATGTGGTCGAGAAATTGGTCTAGAGCAGGCCGGCCATGTGGCCAGATGACAAAAGTGTCGTCTACGTACCTCTTCCATAAGGTCGGGCGTAGAGTGGCAGTCTGGATAGCGTCCGTCTCAAATTTCTCCATGAAGATGTTGGCTACAACCGGAGATAGGGGGGAGCCCATTGGGGTGCCCTCAATTTGCTTGTAGAAGGTTCCATTCCAGGTGAAGTATGTATTGGTTAAGCAGTGTCTCACCAGGGGGGGTACCCCAGCATTCAGTCCTTGATGAACCAAGTCTTCAATGATTGCGATGGTGTCAGGCAC